CCATAAAGTATACAATAAAGGGATGCCATTTATAAAAAAAAACTTGACCAACACTTGTCCTCTATGTCCTGATACATCGCAGAAAGTCTATACTTGGACAGATGGACTCTATTTAAAACTTTGAACTGTATAAGTCCAAGACGAGCACAAGAAGTGGTAGGCTGTATCCTCCATACAGCATGTTCCCAACATTCCTCACTTATCTGTAGTCCTAACTCCGTTTCCCACGCATTCCTAATTTTGTTACTAGACTCACTACCTAGCGTCAGAACAAAATCATAAATCCTAAAAATCATTCCTCTCTGATGCGGATTGTTTGAAAACAAGCTTTCCCAAGCCTGTTGAGGAGGTGCAGATGGGAAATCAGGAAAAAATCTAAAAACGAAATTACAAATTTGAATATACCGAAAAAAAAATGCGTCAAAGGGAGGTCATAAGTGGATGCCAAATTGGCGAAGCTATCAAACACACCACCAGAATACAGATTTCTAACTTGTTTAATACCCTTGTCATACCACACTGAAAATGTGGAGTCCAAACACGATGTGGGAAATAGATAGTTGTTGACTAAAGGACACAAAGAGGATGCACCGACAAATTTAAAGCAATTAATATATTTACTAACCCTTGGTGGCTTCCCTCCCCAAATAATTGTACTAATTATCTTATCCAATGAATTTTGGCAGAGAAAGAGGAACTTGCTGGAACAAGAAAAGAAAATTCGGTAATATATTCATTTTGACGACATTGATCCTGCCAATTAGAGAAAGGGGTAAGTTACCCCAACTCTGAATGTTAGATTTAACCTTTGAGATAAGGGGAGAGAAGTTAGCTGATAAAAGATTAGATAAAGAATGTGTCATGCTGATACCTAGGTATTTAAAACCCGACTGACTAAATCGAAACGGTAGATCTGACAGTTGCAGAGAAAATGCTGCAGTATTGAAAGGAAAACAGTCGCTTTCATCTAAATTTGATTTATAACCAGAGAGAACACCGAAAGACTCCAGAACACCCAAGACAGCTGGCATAGAGGCAATAGGATCGGTTACATACAATAACAAATCATCAGCATATGGCGACAATTTGTATTCTACACTCTATCAAACTATTCCTTTAAACAAGGGAGAACATTTTAGTGCAATAGACAGTGGCTCGATGGCGACAGCAAAAAGCAGAGGGGATAAAGGACAGTCTTGATGACACCCTTGTCCGAGAGCAAAATAATCCAAATAAGTATTGTTTATCTGAACCCTGGCATTAGGGGATAAGTAAAGGAGGCTAATCCAAGAAATAAACTTATAACCAAATCCAAACTTCCTCAAAACTGCAAACAAATACTCCCACGTAACCCTATCAAATGTTTTTTCAGCATCTAATGAAATCACAATCTCAGGGAGCTCAGCCGAATGCTTTGAATAAATTATATTAAAGAGTGTACGGGTATTGGAAAACAATTGACGTCCCTTTATAAAACCGTTCTGCTCTTCAGATATAATATAAGGAAGTACATTCTCTAAACGAGATGCCATTACTTTCGCCAACACCTTTACATCCGCATTAAGCAGAGACAGCGGTCTATAAGAACCACAGGAGGATGGATCCTTACCCTCCTTAAGAAGCAAAGCTATCGTGGCTTGTGTCAGAGTTGGAGGCAAAGACCCACATTCCAAAGATTCGTTGAACATAGCCAAAAGCAATGGAGCTAATTTTCCAAAAAACGTTTAAAAAAAATTAAATTGGAAACCCATCTGGGCCAGGAGCTTTGTTAGATTGCATAGTTTTAAGAGAGAGTTCATAGAGAGTGGGGAGTCCAATCACATAGCAGTATTCGAATCAATAACAGGGTTACAAAGGTTTTGAAGAAATGCATTCACTTTACTATTGTCTGTTGGAAATTTGGATTTATAAAGCAAAGAGTAAAATGATTTAAAAGTTTTCAACAACATTTTCTAGTATATCAAGGAGAATAGTATGATCAGTTGTATCAAAAGTAGCACTAAGGTCAAGCAACACAAGCAAGGAGACAACAATGATCAGAGGCCAGTAGTAGGTTCTTGAGTAGGCTTAGCCATCTCCAAATGGTGGATATATCTGTTATATTGTAACTTTCATTGCCCAGTTTAGAAATACTCTACACAGTGACTAACATTTAGTATTTACTTTTTATTTTGTTGTATTTAGTCAAGAATTTTGAAAATTGTACTTCATTAGCAGTCTCATCCATCTTCATTTATATGCTGAATATAAAACTAAAAATGTACAGCTAAAATAAGTCTAAATTGGGTCACAATTCACAGGATATAAAGTCAATTTTTTAAATACCTTGCTAATAATAATAATAATAATAATAAATCTAATTTTTTGTTCTTCTCATTTGATTAAGCTTTCTACAGGGCTTCTGATTTCCTCCACCCTCTTCTGGTTTTGGGGTGAAAGAGGAAGTGGAGACCATATAGCTTAGCAAAATGTCAGTGGTTAAACCTATAATTAACAAGTTGGTGACTTGAACGAAAAGACTGAATGGCAACTGAAGAGATGTATTCAGAAGAGGATCTCTCCTGTCCAGTGTGTTATGACATCTTCAGGGATCCTGTTCTTCTTTCATGTGACCACAGCGTCTGTAAAGAGTGTCTGGAAGTATTCTGGAGAAAAAAGGAACGCCAGGAGTGTCCGGTTTGCAAACAGCTGAATCTACATGATCCTGTTTGTAACTTCGCATTGAAGAGTCTGTGTGAGGCTCACTTAGAGGAATACAGTCAGAGATATTCAGGAGGCTCTGAACAGCACTGCAGCATACACAATATGCAATTTAATCTCTTCTGTCTGGAAGATAAAAAGCCTATATGTCAGATTTGCCAAACGTCTCCCCAGCATCAAGACCACGAATGCTATCCAATAGATGAAACTGCAGATCACCTTAGGGTAAGCTGATGCAGTGTGCATATTACATAAAAAGTCAATAACATACATGCCATATATATGTATCCTGTGTATTTGTGCATATGTGTATTTTCAACAGAAGGAACTCAAAACTGCACTGAAGCCCTTACAGGAAAAGCTGGACCGCTTCAGTAAAGTGAAACAGTCTTACCACAAAACCAAAACTCACATTAAGGTGAGAATTAGTGATGTGCAACTGAAACACACTCTCTCTTTTTCATTCGTATTCTGTAATACTCACGAACACTATTTATCATGTTAATCACAATGATTCAAATGCACCCAGTACATTATTATCACCCTCAATTATGTACAATGCTGTGAAAAAGTATGAAGTTGGTTAAAAGGTCTTACTCAGTAACACACTATGCCAAAATTAAAAGAAATTCGGAATTGACGAGGAAGAGGTTACCTCTTGAAGAGGTGAAACGCATAAGTCTGGGAAGGGTTACAAAGCTATTTCCAAGGCTCTGGAACTCCAAAGAACCACAAAGAGAGCCAAATGCAAAAATTCGGCACAATGGTAAACCTTTCCAGAAGAGACTGACCTTCCAAAATTCCTCCAAGAGCACATCAACGGCTCATCCATGTAGTCACAAAAGAGCCAAGGACAACATCAAAGGACCTACAGGCCTCTCTTGCATCAATAAAGGTCACTATCAGAAAGACACTGGGCAAAAATAGAATCCATGGAATGCTGACAAGGTGAAAACCACTGCTAACCCAGAAGAACATTAAGGCTCATTTGAATTTTGCCAAAACACACCTTGATGATCCTCAAACCTTTTGGGACAATGTTCTTTGGACTGATGAGTCAAAAGTGGAACTGTTTGGAAGACATGGGTCCTGTTACATCTGGTGTAAACCAAACCCAGAATTCCACAAAAAGGACATCATACATCATGGTGGAGGAAGTGTGATGGTGTGGGGATGTTTTGCTGCTTCAGGGCCTGGGCAACTTGTAATAATTGAAAGAAAAATTAATGCTGCTCTCTACCAGAAAATCCTAAAGGAGAATTTCCGGTCTTCTTTTTCTTCAGTTAAAAAAAAAATCCATAAATAAAAATTGTACTGTGTGTTTACTCAGGTTGCCTTTGTTTTATGGTGTATTTCGTTTGAAGGTGTAGAAGAATTTAGTATGAGATTTAGTATGAGAAAAACAGATGAAATCAGGATAAAAATACTTTTTCACAGCACTGTAAGTATGTAAGAGTCTGATTGCATTGCCAATTGCTAATCTTCGTCATGGGCATGAAATTAAAATTAATTATTAACAACTAACACGGCAGAAGGGTGACAACAGTTATCTTTACATTTTTAACAATTAGTTCATGGCTATAAAAAAGGCATTTATTGAGTGGGTGTGTTTGGCGTCCAAGCTGTGCATCATGTTACCACTTTGGACTATAGCGCAACAAACTCTATAATAAGACTAAATGCATACTTCTCTATACAAAAATTAAAATCTCTCCTTATCTATTCTCTGGTCCAGTGAACTGGTCCACTAAAATACTTTGTGGTCTGCCAAGTCGATGACCCTGAGCTACATTGAACAGTGAACTGAGGGAAGTTGAATGTGTAATAAATGATTTGGCAAAATTGCCCAATGTGTCAAAACGTGTACAATGGAATCTACTTCAAATTCTTATTTGATAAAAAATTAAGTGCAGATAAAAAATACAGGAGAATTTTACTGCACTTTTGAATGCACTTTACGTTTTCACATTTATTCCTATGAGAAACACAATGCACATAACAATATACAATCCAGAGTTTTGTGTTTTATTACAGTTCAATCACTATTCTTGCCACAGGCCAAGCAAAATGATACAGAATAGCAATTATACAAGGAAAGCTAAATCTTTGTGAATCTGCAAACTTCACTCTCAGATTCTAATGAGACTCTAAATGCTTTATTAAAGGCAGACACACTTGGTGGATAGAGTAACATCAATAGACAGTGTTGGTATGATGTGTAACATAAATATGTGGCATGCTACAAGTGCACAATTAGAATGCTAAAGGTTTTGGTCTTTTCTGATTAGATTTGTTGGGGGGTCACAGTGGCTTAGTGGTCAAAACATTTTCTCCTACCTCCAGGGTTGAGGGTTCAAATCCCGCCTTTGCCCTGTGTGCACGCAGTTTGCATACTCCGATTTCCTCTGCCAGTCCAAAGACATGTGTTGTAGGCTAATTGGCATTTCCAAATTATCCACTGTGTGTGAGTGTGTGTATGATTGTACCCTGTGATGGGTTGGCACCCCGTCCAGGGTGTTCCCTGCCGTATGCCCCGAGTCCCCTGGTATAGGCTCTAGGTATCTGCTTATCCTCTGTAGGATAAGCGGTATGGAAAATGATGGATGGATGAATTATTAGATACAATTTTTATCTATATGGTATTTTACTGATAAAGTGATTTATAACATTTTTCAATTTGCTAAACATTTAATAATAAACATTTCTTGATTCACTTATATATATTCCTTGTTTAGATTTTCCACAGTTGAACTGTAGAGTATTTAAAATACTTTTTAAAGTGATTTGAGTTCATTTTTTTTAAGTGATTTGCAGTTTTAAAAAGTTCTTAAATTTAGATTGTTCAGAATCTTTTTAGTGGCAGCGTAGATAAATGTTAAGATCATATCTAAACTCATATAACTTTGAATTTGAAAAAAACCCCAACAACCTGCCAAACCTGAACTAAGATTAACATTTTTCAGAGAGTTATTTAGGTAAAACCATGATATAGATTTTGTGCAGGCATTCAACAGTAAATAATTCAATTAAAATGATCACAGTTGCTCTAAAAGTAGACACTTACGCAAAAGCTCAAATGATGAGTCTATGTTAAGCTGATAATAAAATACAATTAAAATAGGTCAGCATTGGTTTACTGACCTATTTTGTGTTGCCAGATAAACCATGATGGAATGCAAACCACATGCCATTGTATAGTTAGTAGGGTTTCTGTGGCAGTGTCTCTCAAATCCTTTATATAAAAAAGCAGTATGTTGTCTAATATGTATCATCCTAATCAATAATACACTGTTACATACACAGTACTTATTTAACCTTTATTTCATGGATCTATGTGCTTGGTATTTCCCGTGTAGCAGGTTCTGCCACTTTTAATGCAATTTATGTTAAATTTTTATTTATTTAGCAATAATTGTATATTCTAAAAATGTTGTAGCCATGATTCCTTTCACCAATTACGATACGCGTCTTTATCCAGAAACAAGTCCAGCAAACAGAGCAGCAGATAAGGAATGAGTTTAAGAAGCTTTACCAGTTTCTAAGACTTGAAGAGGCAAACAGATTACTTGCACTGAGACAAGAAGAGGAGCAGAAGATTCAGATGATAGAGGAGAAGATTGAAGAGATAAGCAATGAGCTATCATGTCTTTTGAAAAAGACCAGAGCCATAGAAGAGGATATATGGACTGAAGATCTCTTATTCATACAGGTAAATTCTCCCTAGTGTGCTCACTAGCTTCTACACTCCTAGCCAGAATGCTACAAGTTCTTGACGAAACATTTCAAACCAACGGCAAGTACTGAAACACTTGTCAGTACTGGAACAACTTGGTTCATTCAGTGAACAAAGCCAACATCAATCTAATACTAAGCTGATAGTCTTTTTTCCCTTTTAACCCCAGACACTCTATTGTGTTTGTATTTTATTACATAGAATATCAAAGATTTATATAAATCTAAGTAGATCACTTTATTAAATTACCAGGTCCTTGACATTTATACATCCTCCCCCCAATCCCCCACCGCATTTCCTATGCTACTAAAGTTTGTCATTATTTTATAATGCTGTCATTTACAGGCATGGAAACAGGAAGGAGAAAACTCAGTGTGGTTTCCTACACATCTCTGGAAAGTTTTAATTGGTTGATATGTAAAATAATGAGAACTGAATACTGAAATGAATCGTTCCTGTTTATTTAATATTAGTGTACTTCAGTGTATATTCCACTGCTTTTCTCATTAGTTAAACAGTTAAGTCAATGTGAAAAGAGATGTGTCGAGTTTAGGCATTTAATTGTCTATTATTAAATGGCTGACCTAATTCAAAGAACCCTCTGCATATTAATTTTTTTTTTTTCATTCTTACAGAACTTTGAGTCCTCAATGGCTAGGTGAGTCATTTCCTGCTACTCTCTTCTCTGTGGTTCTGTGGCTCATGATCTCAAGATAGCAAATCAGTTAGAAATGATGTGAGCTTACTTGCATGAAAAGTTAAATTCACAGCTTATATTTCAGTTAATTATGTAAGGTATGAACCTTTGCACTTAATAATCAATGGGTGGTGTCATATTTACCAATAACACCATGTCCTGAAATGTCATAGTCCTTTTATAGCACAGCAATTTGCCAGCACACTTTTTATACATTTAATGTTTGTAATATGTAACATTATACAGACTTGTGTTTGTTATAAACAGTCGTTCACATGCCAGCATATCTTTTTTCACTCTCTGGATGTTAATAATACAAAAATTGCATTTGTCTTTTGTCCTGAAGACTAAAACTTAAACTTACAGTTTTTCCTTCAACAGTTACAAAGCACTGACACTGGAGACTCCTTCCATAAATGTTCAATAAAAGTCTCCAAACAGAAAACTTAACACCATAACAAGAATTTTTTAAATTAATAGTTTGTTTAATCTGCTTATGTGGAAAGTCTGCCATACATTGGTTAGAAATGTAATCGACACCTTCTGACCAATCCGGTTTGAGAATTCAACAGTTCTGTGGTTTAACTAAAATACCACAGGTAGGGAAAATTCAGTACTCTTTCTGGTCAATTTTGTCCAATTCATCCAGATTTAAACCTGTGAATTATTAAGTAACTAGACTAAAACTAATTGGTTGTTTGCAAGTGTTAAGTTTAAGGCTCATGGTTAATGGTTGTAGTTTTTTCTTCTTAATTCTTATGAATTCCAATCAAACATACTTAATATTTTGAAGTTTGCATGTGGTTAGTTCAGAAACTCAGTGCTGCACTGACTCCTGGATGTTGTTCTAGAGCTCAGTGCTCCTTGCAGGATCCACAGATGGTTTCAGGAGCACTCATTGATGAAGCGAAGCACTTGGGCAACCTGGCTTTCAGAGTGTGGATGAAAATGAAGGACATTGTGCAGTACAGTGAGTTTTATGTGTACTTATGTTTAAGTAAAAGGAAATGATGTGTGGCATGCTTTCAGAGACATTGCAAAACAAATGTATTATCTAAATAATATTCAGGAACCAACATCTTGGACACATTGTTGTAAGGAAAATGTCTTGTTAAATTCTTGATTGACACTTACATTTAGGATTGATTAAGCATCCTGTTGCAGAATACTGTATATGAACATTTATAATCATATATGCACTGCACTGAATAGCTATCTTTTCTGTGTATGTCATTAGGTCCCGTCATTCTGGATCCCAACACTGCACACACGTACCTTATGCTGTCTGACGATCTGACTAGCGTGATATTCGATGATACCCAAGACATGACGCACCTTCCTGATAATCCAGAAAGGTTCGAGACAAGCATGTGTGTCCTTGGCTCTGAGGGATTTGACTCAGGGAGACACTGCTGGGAGGTTGAGGTTGGGGATAGGAGTTTGTGGGAGGTGGGAATAACCACAGAGTCTAATCCAAAAAATGGAGGGCTGTTTTATGATGGTGTCTGGAGTGTGGAGAATAATTGCGGGTTTTACACTCGCTCTCCTGCTCGGCCAAAGTCTCCGTTCTCTGCTGAGGGAGGACTCGAGAGAATCAGAATTCAGCTGGACTGGGACAGAGGAGAGGTGTCCTTCTCTGACCCATTCAATGAAACTGATATAAAAATCTTCCATCACACATTTACTGAGAAAGTCTATCCATTTTTCTGGAGTCTCAGGAAGAATTCTCCTGTTAAGATTATACCCATGACCATTTTACCAATGACAGTTCTTGAAACTGAATGTTGAAACTAATGTAAGATCTGACGGAAGGCTCTGAAACATCTGTTTAGGTTATTAAGAAAGACACATTTATAGAGAAACATGTCTGCATACACTGATAAATCTGAACTCATGAGTGAGTGCTAATGATTTTTAGTATTTTATACAAAAAAAAACTAAACCACAGAATTTGTTTAAATTAAAAGCAGCACATGTGCATATTTTTCTCTTCTCTCTCCCTTTTTTTTTAATTAAAACATTTCTCCTGCTTTTTTCCTCATGCTTTTTTCCCCTCCCATTTCTCTCTCTCTCTCTCTCTTTTCCTGTTTTAGGAATGGCTTTAATAGTTCTAAAAATGTAACTTTCTAACAAAGTCCTTCTTGTCCTTCAAAGAGAGGTTTTGATAAAGGATTTGAAGGAAGAATTCAATTGATCAGTAAATCGATGCAGCTTTAAAATTATGATTATGCAATGGAAAAATGTAGTGAGGATGAAATTGTGTAAACAATAAATATCATTGCAAGATATATCTCCAAAACCTTGATTTTCTAATTTTAGTTGTTCTTATTTTGCAAGTTTTGGGCAGTATGCGCAAGAAATAAAAAAAAAAATTGTGCATGGAAATACACACACGGATGCCCTCTCATGGAGGGTTGACAAATTGGAGCAGCAAATGGGCTACAGTCAATAATTGTTTATTTATAAAGTGACTCAATATGGTAGGTTTACCTGAGAAAATGGCTACTGTTTTACCTAAGAAAATGGCAGGTCTGGCTAATAAACTGTTCAGGTTGCGTACTACATGTCTCACTTTTGAAACATTTTGTAAATGCTGTAGTGTTGCATTAAGTACTACACAAAATCGGTGAATTTTATTCAGATCTTCTTTTAACATTAACTAGTTGCTTTGTGACTAGAATGAATAGTCCTCCTTCCATATATCCTATCTACTGTATATCTCCATTTGTGGTTAAGTAGTAAACACTGTATTGTAGCATATGCCGAGATAATAGAGACTAACAAGCACATCACAAAGCAGTCTTGTGCAAAATTATTCGCACAAACATACACGAATTTAACTATTTTTTGGATCACATTTCCTTCAAAAATAAAACTTCTTCACTGCGTCTTCAGTGGCTCTGATGCTGGGAGTACATGAAGACTTTTATATTAATTTGTGC